CAGACTGGTTCTATTAAATAAGAAGAGAAAGGCTTGTCTTTTCCCACCAAGAGGAGTATGGGAAGGACAGAGGTTTAAACAACTTTAAAGAGAAGCAGGAAGTGAGGATGCTTCCTAATCCACCCTCTCCAGGGCAGCATGCAGAGGGAGAGGGCACAGTGGACGGGTTGCAGCCCACCTGCCTCAGGGAGCTCGGCATGGGCAACAGCCCCGCCGGGGGACTTCTGTGCAGGGGAGGACAATCGCAGAGCCCGCTCCCCTCTGGTCCTGAGGTTTTCAGAACTTTTCATACACCTGTGCGATAAGGTGAAATGCAATTAACAGACTGGAAAAGCATATTGAAAAGAAGAAACTCGGGCGGCACCTGTGGCTCAGTGGGTAGGGTGCTGGCCCCATACACTGAGGGTAGTGGGTTTGAACCCGGTCTCAGCCAAACTGCAACAAAAAATAGCCAGGTATTGTGGCAGGCACCTGTAGGCTCAACTACTCGGGAGGCTGAGGCAAGAGGATCGTCTAAGCCCAGGAGCTGGAGGTTGCTGTGAGCTGTGACACCATGGCACTCTACCAAGGGTAACAAAGTGAGACGCTGTCTCAAAAAAAAAGAAGAAAAAGAAGAGATTATATAGGGTTTTATGAGTTCTGCATCAGGATATTCCACAAATATTAAGGCAACATAATTTTTATATTTAAAAATGGGCGCCAAGATAGTGTGTTTGTGAACAAACTTTTAGTTGTTCAAAGAAAAAGTTCTAACATTGTGAGTAGCTATTACCTCCCAGAGAAATGGTAAGAGAGGGTGAGAGATGGAACCTTCACTTTTTCTGTTATAATTATAGTTCAATATTGTGTGAATTTTAAAAGGAGAACATGGACTTCCTTTGTAACTTAAAAAAAATTGGATTTTGCCTCACCCTCTTCACATTTGTGAAACAGCCAGGTGAGGACAGCTGATATCAAGATTTGTGACACTGTGATCTTGTCCAGGCACTTCATATTCAAACATAAATACATTAATATTCTAAAAGTTCCCCTCCATCACTTCTGAGAAAAAGTAAATTGGTGATGTCAAAACATTAAGTGGGCCTGTGCCCCAGACCAGTGGTTCTCAAACTTGAGCAAATAGCAGGGTCACCTGGAGAGCGCACTGAAACACTGTCTACTGCCCCGCACCTCTGAGGTCCTGGTTCAGTACATCTGGGCGCAGGCCTAAGGACATGCATTTCTAGTAAGTTCCCAGAGGGTACAGCTACTGCTGCTGGGGGGACCACACTTGAAGACCCTGCTACTCAACCTGTGTTAGGAGCATCACCATCACCCAGGAGCTTGTTAGAAGCAGGGTCTCAGGCCTTGTCCAGACCTCTGGAAGCAGAGCCTGCATGCTAACAAGCTTCTGTGCCTCCCACATGTGCGACAGTCAGGAACACTGCTCAGGACCCCAGAGCCTTTAGTCTAGCACTTGGAGATGCCTCCCCTGAGCACAGAGGCTTCCCTGCTCTCCTGCTCAAATCCTGGGCCTATGGTGCTGAGAGACAGGACAGAGGCCTCTCAGTGCTCAGGCCTGGGGCTACGGGCGATCCTGACCATGACAAGGGAGGCCTCAACTACAGCCTCCTGGTGGCGTGGAGCATGGAAACACTTTCCCTCCTTAGCACATCTCCACAGCCTGATGGAGCTCAGCAGTGCCCTGAGGTACATCCTCCTCACCCCTTATCAAGGAAGAGGCTGTGCCCCACTCTGGATGGAGCCCCCAATAGCACCAAGTTATAGATCCCTTAGCTTAGGACCCCCACCTCTGTAAGGCCCTCTCAGAAATGTGTAGCCGGCAAAACTCTTGCTCAAGCAGAATAAAACCCAGCCAAACTAAAGGCCCTTTGGATATTTTCAAGATAAAACAGGCATGATTTCTGCCAATTGATTTTATTTCAGAGCCCATGGGATCAGATGTATGAAGCAAGTCACATGCCAAACCTAGTTACAGTGCCTGACAGTTGTCAAGCTTTCTATAACCAGATCAAACACCATTTGATTAGGTCACCCAGCCTCCTCAAAAACACACCTGTTTCCTGTGGTCCAGTAAGACTCAAAGAAAAGTAAGTGCTTCTCTCTACCCGCAACCAGAGACTTGCCTCCACACCTCCTTCTGCCACAGGGGTCACCTAGCCTATAAGGCTCCATGCCATGCTGCAGGATGTGGCCACATCAGAATGTTAGCTCTTCCCCTAGAAGACAAACCAGGAGAGGAAAATGGAAATTACAAACAAAAAAACAAGCAAAAATTATTTCCGCTAAATACGTAGGTTTTTCTCTATTAATTGACAAAGATGTGCTCCTCCACAGCTCATTTGAAAGGATCGGTGCCATCCCACAGAGAGACAGAGCGGGGTCAACTGGTCTCCAAAACACAGTGCATAGAACTGGATGGCTTGCTGAATGTTTGAACAAAAATCAACTTAAAAATTGAGCAAAATGAAATAAAATAATGATTCCCAGGTGAGTATGCAGGTATAATTCTTCCATGCCTTGCTCTAATTGCACTTAAGAAGAAAAGAAGAAAATCCTAACCCTTATGAACACTACCTCTTGCTGAGTATTTACAATGGGCTAGGCACTGTGCTGACAATTTTCTTTTCTTTCTTTTTTTTTTTTTTTGAGACGAGTCTCACTGTGTTGCCCTGGGTAGAGTGCCATGGCACCACAGCTCATAGCAACCTCAAAATCTTGGGCTTAAGCGATTCTCTTGCCTCAGCCTCCCAAGTAGCTGAGACTACAGGCGCCACAATGCCCAGCTATTTTTTGTTGGAATTGTCATTGTTGTTTAGCAGGCCAGGTGTATGCGGCCAGCACCCTAACCACTGAGCTATGGGCAATGAGCCTGTGCTAACAACTTCCAGGATCACCTCGTTCATTTTCACAACAATCCTCTGTGGTGGGTATTATTCTCTTTTTTTAAGCAGATGGGAAAGCCAAAGCTCAGAGATGTTAATTAACTTGTGCAAGACCATATAGCTAGTAATCTGGGTAGGCTGATTAATCACTGGTCTACACCACCTTCCTATCTTGTGGCCTAATGGGACAACTCTCTTGAGGGAGAAACAGAAAATGCAGCATGGGGAGGGAGATCCAAATGCCTCAGAAAGTAGTGGAGGGGCCGCCTTGCTTTTGTGTAAAGGTAACAATCACCACACATACTTGTAGTGTAGTATATTTTAAAGCATGTTAAGAAGGTCCATATGGCTCATGTGTTATTTTGGTTAATAGGGAGGCAGTCACTCCATCACTGCAAGAGGAAACAAAGACCTAACCCAGTTCATCATGGCCGCCAGCTGCAGAAACAATTCATTTGGTCATGACCCAAGTGTTAGTGCTGACTGCTTTGACGTGTGAAGAGGCTCCAGGTCATCAGCCCAGATTGACAGCACAAGGAGACTTTCTATTTCTCAATCCTGCTATCTATGAGACTCATTCTTCATTGCCAGAATGACAGATTGCCTTGTGTCATACTAAGGGGAAAACACATGCACACACACACACACACATACAAACAGGTAATGCCTCAAAGAAGCCCAGCTTCATGCGAAAAGCATAAAGTAATATAAATTAAGAAACTCTGTTTACATAGACAATTTCAAATGGAAAAAGAGAGCTGGTTTTTATTATTAAACCAAAGGATGATTTAAAACATGTTAGAGAGTTGGCAACCTCACCACAGAATCATTTTTAAACGCTGACCTCAGAACTTTAAGTCAAACATAATTCACTAGAGAAAAGAAATCAATGCCACTCATGTATCAAGTACAGAAACCACCCATACCATAAGAGTTCAAGAGAGCTAGAAGGGCAGTGGAAGGGCGAGTGGGACTGTGGTAAAGAAAAGCCAGCTCAGTGTTTAAAACTGGCCTCAAAGCAGATGTGATATGGCATAGTCATCACAAATTTGGTCAAATGTCTTGAGACAAAATAGAGCTAAGAAAATTAGAACTATGAGCCAATTCATGAATGGACATAATAAAAAATGATAATTTCTTGAAGATCTACTATGCACCAAACCAGATAGATAATATTTCCATTTTACCAATGGAAAAATAAGTTTAAAAAGATTGAATAACTTACACCAGATGCCACAGATGATAAATAGGAGAACCGTAATTCAAACCAAAGTTGAGTGGAATACAGACCCCTGCTTGTTTTAGATTATATTGGAAGTGGTTACAATTCTTTTAAGACTACAAACTGGGAAATGGCATCCAATCTGAGGTATGCCTGAAGCAAACACTGTTGGCGACCTGTCCAGCATTCATTCTCCCTTTCCTCCTTCTTGCCCAGACCTTGATTATGGAAGATATTGAGTATCTAATTTCTAGTTCCAAAGGGAGTTCTGATTGACCTAAGATGATCCTTAGTTAGTATTCTCTTAGCCATTGTTATTTGCCGAAGGGTGAGCACATGACCTGAGATGGCCCAGCTAGACTGAGGAAAGGAGCATATATCCAGTGCTCGGGAGACCCAACAAGGAAAAGTGCTGCCCTTTGGCTACTGGTAGCCATATTGGGCCTGTGAAGAGAACTGCTTAAAGACAAAGCCAAGTGATGGCGTTGTGGTAATACTAAAAACAAACTGGGTTTGGGGTGGGGAGAACTATCGAACTGCTTCTTAACCAATTTTGGAAACTGTCATACTTCAAAATTTCTTACGTGAAATAAATTGTATTACTATTTTTAACTAATTTAAGGCAAGGTTTCTGGCACCGGCGTAAGAAAGCATCCTAAGTTATATTGGCTCCATGACCAAATTACCTTCTTGAATACCCTATCAAGTTCTGAATTACTAAAAATTCAGTCCTTTGAATGTTTGTGTTCCCTAAAAGGTAATAGGTAAGTAACTATGTAATTTTGGAGAGGGAACTAATTTTCTTAGCATTGACCCAACAAAAATGAAAAAGGAAAATACTTTCCTTTGTAAGGAAAGTACTAACACATTTAACTACATAAAAAATTAAAATGATCCTTTTGTGGTTCACAAGCATAATGATTAGGTTTTCACATTCCTGTAAAATGTGACTCCCTCAAACCTTGTTACAACATTGTCACGTTATCCATCTAATATGAAAAGAAAAAGTTACAACCCTTGGTTATAGGAGTGTGCTAAATAAAATTTAACAGGAAATGACAAACTGGAGAACTTTTTTTTTTTTTTGAGACAGTCTCACTCTGTCACCCTGGGTAGAATGCCCCAGCATCATAGCTCACAGCAACCTCAAACTCTTAGCCTTGAGCAATCCTCTGGCCTCAGCCTCCCAAGTTGAGACAATAGGTGTGCACCACTATATCCAGCTAGTTTTCCTATTTTTGGTAAAGACAGGGTCTTGCTCTTGCTCAGGCTGAGCTCCTGCAATCCACCCCCCTCAGCCTCCCAGAGTGCTAGGATTATAGGCGAGAGCCACCATACCAGCCTGAAGAACAATTTTTATGTGTACAATACAAGGAATTAATATTCCTTCCATATAAAAAACTATGAAGAAAAGAATTCTCCAAAAGAAAAATACACAAAGGATATGAACAAACATTGGTCACTAAATAGACTTTTTAGTATTTAATTTACTTGTAATCAAAGGAATACAGATTCAAATGCAATACTATCTTCATTTACCAAACTTGAAATTTTTTTTTTTTTAGAGACAAGAATCTCACTTTATCACCCATAGTAGAGTACCGTGGCGTCACAGCTCACAGCAACCTCCAGCTTTTGGGCTTAGGCGATTCTCTTGCCTCAGCCTCCCAAGTAGCTGGGCCAAACTTGCAACTTTTTCCTCAATAAGGGTCTGTTGGTTAACAGCCAGGTATCCCAGCTCTCTTCCCTCTTTATCAGGCTAGCCTCGGCTTGCTACCATGACACAGGCAAGGGCACCCACAACGCCTCTTGACCCTGGCCTCAGAACTGGCCAAAACTACCCAAAGGCCAGCAGAGATTTGAAGAAAATTACACTGCCCCTTGATGGGAGGACTTTCAATATCTTATTTCGAAAGTTGTGGTTACAGAAAAAGGTACAGAATTGGGGCAAATTTTCAATCAATCTATCACAAATATGTACTACATTATCCCAGTTTATGCTCATCAAAAACTGTATGTGATATACATGGTAGGCCCAGCATGGTGGCTCACACCGGTAACCCCAGCACTTCAGGAGGCCATGGTGGGCACATTGCTTGATTGAGGTCAGGAGTTTGAGACAAGCCTGAGGAAGCAAGACCCTTGTCTCTACTAAAAATAGAGAAATTAGCCTTGTGTCATGGCACATGCCTATAATCCCAGCTATTCAGGAGCCTGAGGCAGGAAGATCACTTGAGCCCAGGAGTTTGAGATTGTAGTGAGCTAAGACGATGCCACTAAATTCTACCCAGGGTGACAAAGCAAAACTCCATTTCACAAAAAAAAAAAAAAAAAATGTATGTGATCTATGCAGATATACAGATGGGTAGGCCAGCAATTGAAATCTATACCTAATTGAACTGGCGCAACACAAAAGAGAATATCTAAACAGCCAACACATCTATGAAAAGATGCTCATAGCTAGTCACCATGAAAACGTAGGTTAAAACACAATGGGACACCACTACCCTCCCACAAGAATGGATAACATTTAAAACAAAAAACAACAAAATGCCTAACAATGCCATGTGTTGATGAGATAGGTAGTTACTGGGATTCACACATTGCTAGTTTTTTTTCTTTTTTGTTTTTTATTGTTGGTGATTCATTGAGGGTACAAAGAATTAGGTTACACTGATTGCATTTGTTAGATAAAGTCCCTCTTAATATTGTGTCCCACCCCCACGAGGTATGCCATACACTGTGACCCTCCACCCCTCCCTTCTTCCCCTCCCCCCACTCCCTTATTCCCCTACTCACCCTTCTCCTACTGCCTTCATATTAGAATTGTGTACACTGGATTCTTGTGATGCTTTACGAAGAAGAATGTGTTCCAACTCCATCCAGGTTAATACAAAAGATGCAAAATCTGGGGTGGTGCCTGTGTCTCAAAGGAGTAAGGCACTGGCCCCATATACCAGAGGTGACAGGTTCAAACTCAGCCCTGGCCAAAAACTGCAAAAAAAATAAAAATAAAAATAAAAAGATGCTAAGTTTCCATCTGTTTTAATGGCTGAATAGTATTTCATGGTATACATATACCACCACACCTTGTTAATCCAATTCTGGCTTGGTGGGCATTTAAGCTGTTTACACATTTTGGTGATTATAAATTGAGCTGCAATAAACAGTCTAGTGCAAGTGTCCCTATGATAGAAGGATTTTTTTCCTTCTGGGTAGATACTCAGTAAAGGGATTGCAGGATCAAATGGGAGGTCTAGCTTGAGTTCTTTGAAGATTCTCCATACTTCCTTCCAAAAAGATTGTATTCGTTTACAGTCCCACAGACAGTGTATCCACACCAGCATGGGCAGCTTGGAGAGTGTGATGTGGGCCATTCTCATTGGGGTTAAGGGATATCTCAGGGTAGTTTTGATTTGCATTTCTCTGATGATTAGGAATGATGAGCATTTTTTCATATGTTTGTTAGCCATTCATCTGTCTTCTTTAGAGAAGGCTGTATCCATGTCTCTTGCCCAGTGACATATGGGATTGTTGGGTATTTTTTTCTTGATTAATTTGAGTTCTCTATAGATTCTAGTTATCAAGTTTTTGTCCAATTCATGATATGCAAATATCTTTTCCCATTCTGAAGTTGTCTGTTTGCTTTGGTTGTTATTTTCTTAACTGTACGGAAGCTTTTCAGTTTAATTAAGTCCCATTTGCTTATTTTTATTGTTGTTGCAATTGCCACGGAAGTTTTCTTCATAAAATCTTTCCCCAACAAATATCTTCAAGTGTTTTCCCCATATTTTCTTCAAGGATTTTTATTGTTTCATCTTTTATCTTAAATCTTTTATCCATCTTGAAAAAATTTTTGTTTCATCTTTTATCTTTAAATCTTTTATCCATCTTGAAAAAAATTTTGTAACTGGTGAGAGGTGTGGGTTCAGTTTCAGTCTTTTACATGTGGTTATTCAGTTATCCCAGAACCATTTATTGAATAGGGATTCTTTTCTCCAGTGTATGTTCTTGTTTCATTTACCAAGGAGCGGGTGGCTGTAAGATGTTAGTTTCATCTCATGGTTTTCTATTTGATTCCAAATGTCAATGTCTCTATTTTTGTGCCAATACCATGCTGTTTTGATCACTATGGCCTTGTAGTATTGCTGAAAATCTGGCAGGGTGATAACCCCAGCTTTGTTTTTATTACTAAGAATAGCCCTGTCTATATGAGGTTACTTCTGGTTCCATAGGAAACAAATATTATTTTTTCCAAATCTTTTTATTTTTTTTTTTTTGAGATGGAGCCTCAAGCTATCCCCCTGGGTAGAGTGCCATGGCATCATGCTCACAGCAACCTCCAACTCCTGGGCTCAAGCAAGTCTCCTGCCTCAGCCTCCCAAGTAGCTGGGACCACAGGCGCCCGCCACAACGCCCGGCCATTTTTTGGTTGCAGCCATCATTGTTGTTTGGCGGGCCCGGGCTGGGGATTCGAACCCGCCACCTTAGGGGAATGTGGCTGGCGCCTTAGCCACTTGAGCCACAGGCACCGAGCCATTTTATCCAAATCTTGAAAGTATGATTATAGCATTTTAATGGGGATTGCATTGAATCTGTAGATGACTTAGGGTAGTATAGACATTTTCACAATATTGATTCTTCCCAGCCATGAGCATGATATATTCTTCTATTTGTTGATATCTTTTGCTATTTCTTTTCTCAGGGTTTTATAATCTTCTTTGCAGAGGTCCTTCACCTCTTTTGTATGTATATTCCTAGGTATTTCAATTTTGTGAAGCTACTGTGAAGGGAATGGTGTCTTTGATTAGCCTCTCATCTTGGCTATTACTGGCATATACAAAGGCTACTGATTTATGGACATTGATTTTATATCCTGAGACATTGCTGTATTTTTTGATCACTTTCAGGATTCTTGTGGTTGAGTCTTTGGGGTTCTCTAAGTATAAGATCATATTGCTGGCAAAGAGGGAAAGTTTGACTTCCTCTGCCCCCATTTGGATGTCCTTTATTTCCTTCTCTTGCCTGATTGTATTGGCTAGAACTTCCAGCACTATGTTGAATGCTAGTGATGACAGAGGACAACCTTGTCTGGTTCCAGTTCTAAGTGAAAAAGCTTTCACTTTTACTTCATTCAGTATAATATTAGCCATGAGTTTGTTGTAGATGTCTTTGATCGGATTCAGAAATGTGCTACCTATGCCAATATTCTTAAGTGTTCTAATTAGAAAAGGATACAGAATTTTATTGAATGCTTTGTCTGCATCTATTGAGAGGATCATACAATCTTTGTTTTTGTTTTTGTTGATATGGGAACCATCTAGATCAGGGCATTTTTTTGTTGGGAAAATTTTCATTATTTCTTCCATCTCAGTTCTTGAAATCAGTCTGTTTAAGAGATTTATTTCTTCTTGATTAAGTCTAGGGAGAGGATATGACTCCAGATATTGATTTATTTCCTCCACATTGTCAAATTTCTGGGCATACAGTTTCTTGTCGTACTCAGAAATGATCTTTTGTATCTCTGTGGCATCTGTTATTATTTCCCCTTTATCATTTCTGACTGAGGTTATTAGAGATTTTACTTTTCTGTTTCTAGTTAATCTGGCTAAAGGTTTATCAATTTTATTTATTTTTATGAAAAAACAACTTTTTGTTTTGTTAATTTTCTGAATGATTCTTTTGTTTTGAATTTCATTGATCTCTGATTTAATTTTGGTTCTTTTCTTCTGCTGAGTTTGAGATTAGATTGTTCTTCTTTTTCCAATTCCATAAGATGGTTCATGAGTTTGTTGATGCCCTCTCTTTCTGTTTTTTGAATGTATGCATCTAATGCGATAAATGTCCCTCTTAAGACTGCTTTTGGCCAGGCACAGTGGCTCATACCTGTAATCCTAGCACCCTGGGAGACCATGGCCTTGTCCCTCAAGGCTAGGTAAGTCTCTTAGAGACATCATATGGATGCCTTGTGCTTTTTTATGCAATCATCCAGCCT